TCTCTTATTTAATATACTGCTGCTGTATATGACGTTATCATTTTGCTTTCCAGCAATATCTCATCAAAAATATCATATGATTTAAAAATATTTTTTTATAGAATAAGGGTTATAAACGAGCACATAGTCCACCTGATGGTAAGTGGTTGCTGTGGCCCATAGTCATCTACATCTAGCTTCGTTTGCGAATTAAAATGCAGATGCGTTATCAGCCGTGAGGACTAAGATGGAATGCCTCTTTTCCAGTAAATGAGTCTCCGGTTCTCTACACTCACCATACAAAACACAGCAGCATTAAGCTGATATTTTACGCTGGTATTCTGTGAGAGCGTGGTTCTTCCCCGGACGAGCCGACCCATTCGTGCTACAACTATATTTATTTATTTATTTATTTATTTACTGGAAAACTAACAGCTTAATCTTAACAAAATATAACATACATGTAAATTACATTCTAAGCCAATAAAAAGTTTTCACATATAGATAAACAATAGTCATATATAAATAACAAATTCACTTTACTGCCGGTTCAAACTAATGTTATAAAATTATTGCTTGTTATTAAATTGTTGACTGTTGCTAAAATTGGAGGTGATTAATTTACAAATGGCAGAACTGTTGGTACAGAAAAGGTCCACCTTATCATAGTCTTTAGATAGTCTGTTAAATGAATTAGATGCTCTTATAAAGAAGGAATTGCGTCTGTAGTTAGTGCGATAAGAAGGTATGTGTAAGAGATTGTTACAACGTAGTGAACGAGTGGGGGTTGAGATGAGTAATTTCTTTAATAAGTCTGGACAGTCTATGTGGCCCTGAGCGATTTTTGATAGTAAAACCAGGTCTGCTGTGTAACGTCTAGTTTGCAGAGGGAGAAGGTGAAGACGACCACACAGCAGCTCGTAGTTTTCTTTGGGAATGCGGAATTTTGAGCACACATATCTGATGAATCTTTTTTGGATGGATTCAATTTTATTAACGTAAATATTGTACTGAGGATTCCATATTTGACTTGCGTATTCCAGATTACTTCGAACAAGTGAACAATACAAAATTTTAATAGATTTTAAATTGCGGAAACTGGAACATGATCTAATGATAAAGCCAAGAGCTTTATATGCTTTATTAACAATTTGTTCAATGTGCTGGTCATATAGTAATTTGTTGTCAATGGTAATACCCAAGTCCCTTATTTCGTTGCACCTGGATAATTCAGAGCCTTTAAGGGTATATTTAAATATGTTAATATTACGCTTACGCCCGAAAGACACACAAAAACATTTTTCAACGTTAATATCAAGTTTATTTCGCCTACAGTAATTGTCTAAATTGAGTAGATCGTTTTGTAAGTATAGCGCATCATCGAAATTATTAACTATTCTAAATATTTTCATATCGTCAGCGAAAAGTAAAAAATTTGTGTTTAAAAAGCATTCACTTATGTCGTTAATAAAAATTACGAAGAGCAAAGGGCCAAGTAAAGAACCTTGCGGGACTCCGGAGGGGACAGGCACCCAGGAAGATGTAAATCCATTCAGAATTACCGCTTGTGATCTATTAGAGATATAGGATGTAAACCATCTAAATAAGTCACCTCTTATACCGGCTGTCGATAACTTTTCCATTAATATAGCATGATCAATACGATCAAATGCCTTGCTATAATCGGTATATATGGCGTCGATTTGATACCCTTTATCCATATTATATGAAACGAAATCCGTAAATAGCAAAAGATTGGACGTAGTGGATCTTTTTTGAAGGAAGCCATGCTGTTGGGGAATAATAGTATGTTTGATCGCCGGGTACAATTGGTTGTATACAATTCTTTCGAAGACCTTAGCAATGAGGTTCAATTTAGAAATTGGTCTATAATTCTCAATGATATTTTGTGGACCCTTTTTATGTATTGGGGTTATAAATGCGGATTTCCATCTTGATGGCATTAAGCCCTCATTAATAGATCTTCTAAAAATAAAAGTTATAGGTTTAGATAAAGTTCCAGCACATTTTGTTAGAAATAAAGCTGGTATACCATCAGGGCCAGCTGATTTTTTTAAGTCAAGCGACTTTAATAGCCTCTCTACTTCAAAGTAATTTATATTTATTGTAGAGATATCGTTTGATGCGAAAGATGATGTACAGCGTGAGATATCTTCTGGTTTAGTTGGTTGAAGGTAATTAGAATGAAAATATTGTGCAAAAAGATTACAAATATCTTGTTCTGAGTTATATGTTATACCAGAATAAGTCATACGAGAGGGATAAGATGCACCCCGACTTTTGTTTCGAATATACGACCAAAATATTTTAGAATGACTTTTTAGACTATCTTCGACGCGACAAATATATTCATTGTAAAGTGTCTTTTCGATCCGTTTAATCCTTTCTCTCAAAATTTCAAAGGTGATTTTGTCATATAAATTTCCATAGATTTTGAACTTCTTGTGGTACTTATTCTTTTCTTTGATTAATCTGACAATAGCATGATTAAACCATGGTGGGTATTTGCTATTACATTGTATACGAGAAGGAATATATTTGTCACGAATATTATATATTGTCTCGTAAAACAGTTCGACAGCATCATCCACATTACCTCTACTAAGAACTTCCTCCCAGTTCACCGAACTAATGTCTAAATTTATTTGGTTATAGTCGCCTTTATTGTAAGAATAAGAGGTCAATTTGTTACGAGTCAGAGGCTGGACATCAAAGTTTACAAAAATTATCAAAGCCTTGTGATGCTGGTCTTCCAAAACTAAGGGATCTAGACAATGATTTACATTTACATAGTCATTCGACAAAACTAAGTCGAGTATTCGGTTGTAGGAATTATAAACTGTATTAAATTGTTGAAGATCACAAAAATTCAAAGTTTCTAAGAAATATTGTACATGTTCGCCCCTGGCGCCACAACCCTCGATACCACTCAGTGTATGGGACCATGTAATAGAGCTCATGTTAAAATCACCTAGAATTAAGAATTTGTCATTCGGATTAGCTGATATTATTGACTCAAGAGAATTACAGAAATTGAAGACTTGATCGGAGAAGCATGCGCCCATATTTTCATTGCATAGATAAACAGTGCAAATATTGAGTTTAACGGGGTGTTTAGAGTAAGGGCATTTTAGTGTCATTGAAACCCAAATATCTTCTGCCTCCGAATACCACTTAGGTTCTCCTTTTGCGATTATTCTCTTGTGTAAAGCAATAAGAACCCCCCCACCTCGCGATTGTTTTGTTTTATTGAGATCACGGTCGCGGCGCCAAACGTAGTAGCGATCGTCAAATAACTCAGCATCAGATATGCCACCAAGTAACCACGTCTCCGTTAATGAAATAATGTCATAGTTGTTGAGCGCCACATTACGATAAAAATTTTCAACTTTAGTTCTCAGCCCTCTAACATTTTGGTAATACACATTTAATGAGGTCATTTTGACTGTTTACATGTATACAACTTAAATACAGAAATACAGAACAAGAAATGAGATACTATAATTAAACTTACAGTAGCTATAACCACAAGTTTAATTATAGGACATTTTGTAATTATTATAATCAGCGCAAGGCCAAAATATAAGGTCCCATGTAGAAGTTTTATATAGGGCAGTATCAACAAAAAGTATAAAAATATCAGGTCTTTAAAGCGGCATCTCATACATAACAATCTGGTGCCAGGTCTGAAATGATAATAATGTATAATAATATAAAGTATATGAAATTTGGAGATACTACTAGAAATAATATATAATGTAAGCATAAACTCAATGGCGTATCTCAAAAAAAGTGATTTAGTGTAAAGAAAAAAATGTGAAGTTGAGATTGTTGTTGTAAGTTTTACCGTTGTTATATCGTTGTAATACAAGCCGCTAAACTTCCGTACATTTGGTGAGGAAAATAAAATAATAAAAGGCGACGGTAGTAAGCAACGTTCGTAGTTCTTAATTGAATGTACTTTTATGGAGAGGTAAACGTAACTCATCAGGTAAGTAAATAAAAATTCGTTAAATAAAAATGCAAAGCAAAAGGAATACAATACCTGGAAATTATACAGTATCTTCATATTATAAAAGCGTTCATACTTACTTAACATTAAACAATGTAATGTAATCCCTTGAAAGTAGGTAATAGGTACACAAATAGCATGCACATTACGCATAAGCAAAAAAGGTTTTAGTAAACAACTATAAAAGACTATGATAAGGCGAGTTGAGACGGTGGTTCCCAAACTGTTATAAGTAATATTTTTTGATTTAATATATATTAAATTTAGCAAAACGATAAAGACTAGCAATGAAGAAGTGTTTATATAAATTAATTTATCTTGACGAGATCTGATTCGGATTTGATGTTGAAGACATACGATGTATCGGTTTTTCTTACAAAAATTTTTCCATGTTTGACCCACACGTATTGGTAGTTTTTTTCTTTTGTCAAAGTTTTGGTTTTATTCAGTAACATTTTTTTAGCGTAACTAAGATGGTCGTTAATATAGATACGATTTTTTCCTTTCAAACCAATATCTTCAGCTGATATATTAAGCTTACTGTGACGTGATGCTGCGATGAAATCCTCCTTCATGTATTTGTTTGTGAATGAAACAATTATTGTTTTGGTATTGGACGATCCAGTATCACGCGTCTGGACTCGAGTTACATAGTTGACAGCATTTTTTGGTACAGGATAGGTTATTTTATTTCCCAGTTTATCAATGATGTCAAACAAATTTTCCCCAGGTTTGAACGGAACTCCCTTAATTTCCACATTATTTGACCGAAGCCACTGATCTTTTTCGTTGACATCATCTTCAAATTTAATATTATCAATAAAGCTGCAGCATGGCTCTACCACGTATTGGCATTACTGGCGCAATCAAATGATTATAAAGTTTGTTGAGCCTTCAATCTTCATCATAGCTAAAACTTTTTTTTAAATAAGCTTATTAACATGGATCAAATACCGCCACATTAAAGGAAGTGAATTCTGATAGATACCTGATCGTGGAAAGCTGGCAACAAATATATCATCAGATCTCAGAGGCAGATTGTAAATATTGGCAGCGTCTTTTGTATATTCACGTAGCATCGTATAATTCTTTGGTCCGACGTAAACATGTTCGAAGGATTTTCCTGGAAATGGTAAAGTCATTAAAATATTTAGCTTCTTCTATATAAAAGAAAATATCATTGGTTTCTGAACGCCTATCTCTGCATTTTATTGCGAACTTACTTTTACCAATGGTATTTTTAAATAGAAATTTTTATACAGAATTAAACTTTTTTATAAAGTTACGTTTAAAAGTTATAAATAAATAAAGAAAAGCAATTTTTGTACAATTTTATTTGTTAAACCTGATAGTATTCTGCTGCACGAAATAGAATAAAACAGAGATCCAAATTTTACATCCAAACTTTACTTTGAAAGCAATTAATAAATGTCACGTAAAAGTTATTTTAGACCAATTTAAACTCACCAAGAAAATATTTTTGTAATTCCTTAATTTCATTTTCGTCGGATCGGAATTCGAAAGGAAAATCGTTAAGTGATGCCATTTTTGCAATCAAAATTAATGTTTCAATGAAGATGTTACCACTACTAATTTTTCTACTAATTGACTCCTTAGTTGGGTTTCGATTAGATATAATACTTAATTTTATCAACAAATTAATTTAGTAATAATATTTATACCTTAATTTTTATCAAAATAATAACTGATATAACAATAACTTCCTTATTTTTTTATGGGGGTTAGAGCATCTGCTCTGAGCCCGTTTCAGCCCTCTCACCTATTTCTGGCGCTAAGAATCAATGGAACCGCTACTGTGTATCGGTTAAAGGGAAAAGTAACCCATTTAATTATATGGCTGCAGCTTAAAATTAAATGAGTTATTTCAATATAGTTCAAGTTGACTACATGTATTTCGTCCCTAATAGGAGCTTCATCAGGAGAAATAGACTGTTCCATAACTGACCGGTAGATGGCTCTATTCCTTTATCGTATTTTGTTTGTTTAAAATTGAAGAAAACTCTCTGTGGTTGTACTGTTTGTATCTGGCTGGTTTTAATATCAATACATATAGGACATTAAGAAAAAGAAAAATTAAAATTAAAATTAAAAAAGCACTTTACCGCCATTTTTCAATTGTTTTCATGATGATTCAAAATGAGTGAATCTAACGAAGACATTCGATACATTCTGAAGTATTATGACAAAAAAGATTAAAATGAGAATCGAGCCCTGAAACAAATTGTGACATTTATGGACCTAATGCATTGTCAGTAACAAAGTTGGTTTAAGCGTTTTCAGTTCGGGAATTTTGATGTCTAAGATGCAGCTCGCTCTAGTCGCCCTAATACGGATAAACTCATTTTTGAAAACGTGGAGCAATCAGCATATTAATAGTTATGACATAGCCGGGGACTTGAGTATTGACCACAAAACAACAATTTTGACCTATTTGAAAAAGTCTGGCTATACAAAAAACTCTATATTTTTGTGTACCACACCAGCTCGCTGAAAGAAACCTAATAAATCATGTACTCATTTGCGATTCTCTATTGACACGTAATAAAACCAAATCATTTTTGAAAAGATTGATCACTGGTGATGAAAAGCGTATCACCTACGATAAGAAAGTGCGAAAAAGATCATGCTTAAAGGGTAGTCAATCTCCACAAACTGTAGCGAAGGTGACTTGTATGGGATTGGAAGGGCATCATTTATTATGAGCTTTTACTGCCGGGCAAAACCATCGATTCAGATCTCCACTGCCAATAACTAATGAGACTCAAACAAAAAAAAGAGAAAAAACGGCCGAAATTGATCAATAAAAAAGGAGTGGTCTTTCATCATTATAACGCCAGACCACACACATCTTAGGCCACTCAGTAAAGATTGACAGAGCTTGGTTGGGAAGTGTTAATGTATCCACCATATAGTCCTGACCGTGCACCTTCAGATTTTCACCTCTTTCGGTCTCTTCAGAATTCTTTGGATAATGTACACCCTGAGATTTTCACCTGACTGTCAAAACTACATGTCGCATTTTTTTGATCAAATATCCCAAGATTTCTACTGCAACGGGATTATGTCACTACCTACAAGATGGCAACAAGTTATCGAACACAATGGCATATATATATTTTCGTTAATAACTCTGATGGCAAAGTTGCCACAAAGTAAGGTTAACTTTGCCATTTTCTATTTTTGAATATATTGTCTATTCTATGTTAATATTTTTTTAAATAAATACTATACCTATGAAGAATATAATTTCACATTAAACATTGCCGCCCAGTCTGAGGTACTTTATTTATTTAAAAATTGGTCCTAGATTTTTAAATCGTTCCAAAAAGGACAAAGTTGCCAATTTGACGGTAGTTTTTAAGCACAGATAATCTATGTTTTTAAGGTACAATAAATTATTATAATTTATACGACGAGAGACCCTGTCCAAAGTAATAATCGAAAAACTATATAAATGACATACACTATAATGTACTATCGTATCATCTAATTTATCGTCTAAATAATTAGAAACTAGAAAACGAAAGTTTTGTGATCAAAACACTATCATAAGAAATATTTTAATACATAAGGTCGATAAAAATTATTTATTATTAATGATTAATATAAATATTTAGGATAGGTAAAGCCAATCTGATGTTCTATATTAAACATGACAAATTTTTTGATATTTGGTACTCATAGTATATGCATCTAAGGCTTACAGAAAGGGTTCTTGTAATCTTCTTTTCGCGGATTTATAAAAATATTTTTAGATAGTAAGTATTATTCGGATTTTTATAGGACGGATTGTAAATTCTGTCACTGAGAACAGGATTAATGACTGATTGTAAATTCTGTAACTGTCAAAAGAGAGAAATTTTAGAATGATGATTGCTGTCTTGTTGTGTTATAAGCAAATCCATTGATACATACCGCTACGTAATTAACTGTTGTGAAAAATATAAATATTATCCAAAAAGCTAAAATAAGGTAATAGCTACAAACATACATAATTCAGATACTTTTAAAATACTGACAAAACAAGAGGCAGTGTAATATGATATTATGCATCTCTTAATTTTGTTTTGTATAATTAAAATAAACAACTCATAACATACATCGTTTACTTAAGAAAAAAAATATTTTACAAAATAAAATAATAAATAGTTTTTCTTTTCAATAAATTAAACTTAATTTTATACACTAATCGAGAGTGGAGATCGGGCTTATGACGAAACTGGGACGACTTCTGGAGTTTTCTCAGGTGTAGCTTCAATTTCTTGAACACGAGCACGGCAGGTTAGTGTGACCGGGTCCCTTTCGCGATCAGGACCACACTGTTCTGTGGCACCTAGAAGCTTGTACTCGTCCCGTTCAGCTGGCTCCGTTTCCACTCGTCTCCGGCCTGGGATTACAACTTCAACCGCCCGACCGTCAACTCCCGCGGACCTCTCGCTGCCAGGCCCTATTTCAACCTGATAAGGCGTGTTAGGTTCCACGAAAGCTTCCATAACTTGAATATCAGCACGGTCCTGAGCGTTTTCATTGTTGCGTTGTTTCGACCTCTTCAATAAGCCATCTAGCAAACTGTTAGGGAACGACAGTTTTTGTGGTATGGCGACGAGGAGTACGACATTTTGCACGTCGGCGCGTACGTTGTATTCACCGTCTTGGCGCTCGTCATAGGTGGCGGGAACGGTAGGCGCGGCGGTCGCGGCCGCGAGAAGACACGTTATAACTAGCAGCATATCGCGTGCGGCTATAGCACCTCCTAGACGCTGACTGCGCGCCGCCGTCATCTCCCGCGCGGCTTTTACGGAGCACCCACGAACCAGTCCGCCGCGGAGAATCGAGCACACTGTAACGGTTAACACGACTGGAGCGCTATCACTATCTATGCATATGTCCATGAGTAACAGTTAACATTGATTACTAGTCCATAATTATTGATCAATCTTAAACAATCTTTAACTAAACAACACGAAGTCGAAATTAGTTTAATAATAACATACAACATACATTTAAAAAGGAAGTTATGTGTGCCACTTATGCACACAATCAAAGTATGTTATGAATATAGAGCCGGCAGTTGTGTATCACCTTTGACAGTGACCTTAGGTGAATAAGCGATAACCATGTTTCTATTACGCATCTCATCCTAAATATTATGTAGGTATATCTGGATGTTCTTTCAGCTCAAAGTATTTATTAATTTCACACATTACATAAACTTTATATATCAATAAAATAAAACTTAATTTTAATATTCATTTTTAGGGTTCCGTACCTCAAAAGGAAAAAACGGAAGCTTCATAGGATCACTTTGTTGTTCGTCTGTCTGTCTGTCTGTCTGTCAAGAGCCTTTTTCTCAAGCTGAAATTCATATCAAATACTCAAATCTACTGTCCCTTGGAGCTGTGAAAAAATCAAACTTCTAAGCCAACGCAATCAAAAGATACAGCCGTTTATGGCGCAAATTTTCGACATTCGCAAGGGAATCAAAACCTACAGGGTACTTCCCGTGAACTCAGAATCTTAAAATTTGGTACGAAGCAACGTATTGTAGCACAGATAAAGGAAAAATTGCGAAAAGAATAAATTTTTAGTTACATCATATAATAAAAATATTTTTAATAATTTTATACTTATATACCTACGGATTTGTTCGGAACCCTCAGTGCGCCAGTCCGACTCGCACTTGGCCGGTTTTTTTCTTATTCTTCAGGCATTTAATTCTACGTCTGGTGTCTAGACATCGGCTCTTTCAAGAATATTCCTGCAAGTGTGCACTTCTTAAAAAAGTTGCTAATTAAGAATACTTTTACGGATTATATCGCGTTTAAATTTAGCTTATTTCTAACCCCCGCGTTTCAAGCGTCCAATGTCACGGGAAAAACTGAGGTGTTTAACGTTTGTATAGGTCTAAGAGCATAGAGCCTTTAATCTCAAAGTTAAAGTGCGAACTTTTTATTAAATTTAGGATTGTGTAATCTACATTGGTTCGCAAATACACGACCTCCTCGAAAAAGAATCGGTAAGAAACTCCGAGGTGTTTTAAGCCAAGTTATAATTTTATTTACAATTACAATTTATAATAAAATAAATACCTTGTCATAGATTAATAAAGTACATTATCAACATGTCAGCTTTTTAACAAGATAATATCACTAGCCAGAGGACTTGCAAGTGCAGAGTAAGAGATATTGAGGTGAAAATCAAAAAAAGAAAAGTTTGTTTAATACACCTTACATCAACTGATTATTCAGTACTTAACTTAGGTGGCTCAGAGGTGCTAGATAAACCAAGATGCAATTTTACCTCGCATAGCAAAAAGCACTAAACTACACCCTTGTACTTTCTATACCGTTAGAATAGGTAATACTAACAGTCAACGGTTTTCTACAAAACAGTTCTAATTATCTAGGACTAGGATGCTAAACCTGTTAATGTTTCTGCAACAAAGTTATAGAAGATATAGAATGAAAATGGCATTACCAGAAGCAGTAAATTACAACTACACAGTGTGTTTAGTTTGCCTTTTTC